GCATTTGTGGCCGCGCTGCTCGTCGCCAGCTTCTTCGTTTTGACGCACAATGTGCTGCCCGCCCTCTTTATCAACGACCCCGACTCGATTGCGTACTGCGTTCTTCGCAATATGGACAACTTGTCCTTATGTCGACATTTGTACCTGTAGAGAAACGCAGCGCGCCTTATATCTGCTCGCACTCTTCGAGTTCGTCGACGGCACAAACTGCGTTGTCCAAGGAATTTTGCGAGGCATGGGTCGCCAGTCCATTGGTGCGTTGTTATCTGAGCTGCTATGCCCTCAGCTCTTACGCCTCGTGCTGTGATCTCATCGTGGTGTAGGTGCCTACGTAAATGCGGCTGCGTACTACGCTGTGGGCATCCCCATGGCGGCTCTCTTTGGCTTTTACTTTGAGGGCAACGTGTTCGGTCTCTGGGCTGGTATTGCCCTTGGCCTCCTTACGGCGTGCTGCATCTTTTCGTGGATTTTGCGGGGCACGGACTGGCGCGCGGCCGCCAGGAATACATTTGAGCGCATGGCCGACACGTCGTCCAAGTACTAGTCACTATGTGAGGTTCCTTGCCGTCTCACATCACTTGCCAATCTACAAATGTGATGTACCAGCTTTGTGCCTGCACGCACAATTGCATGAATAAATATGTTCAGGACTTTTCAGTGAAACTTTTGTCGACCAATTTGCCGATTCAAACCATGGCCCTAAATGTGGCATATAGACATGGCGGTGCGGCATATTTGGTATCTTTGGCACAAAGTGCCTCAAATAGGTGCCACCCTGTCCACAAGAGTGAACGTCCGAAGGACACCTACACTCTGAGCCGCCTGGCTGGGCGTTCTTCGTCACAGTATTTCTGGTCATGGCGAGCAAGATCCCCGCAACGTTCAAGGCCATCACGCCCTTCATTCGGCGCGCCGAGGAGCTCGACCGCGACCGGACGCGGCCCGAGAGCAAGATGGTTGCGTACTACTGCCGGCAGTACGCCATGGAGCTTGGCATCAAGCTGCGCGAGAACGACGCGTCGGACGAAGCGACGACGTACCTGCTCTCGCTCATGGAGAGCCTCGAGTCGGAGAAGGCGGCGCTGCCCGCGCACTCGCAGGAGGAAGGGCGCATCATCTGCGAGAACTTTGCCTTTGACATCTTCATGCGCGCGGACGAAGAAGACCGCGCCGGCAGCGCCAACAAGTATAACCATGAATCACAAATATGGGCTAATGGGGCGGCGGGAACTAGGAACACGGCGCGGACGTTCTACGCTGCGGGTAGCTTCTTCGACATCCTCAAGCAGTTCGGTACGCCCAGCGAAGACATCATCGAGAAGACCAAGTACAGCAAGTACAAGGCTGCGGATATTCTCAAGGCCATCAAGGAAGGGCGTGCGCCGACGCCCGGGGCTCCCAGCGAGCAGGTAGAACAAACGCCGCTGAGGTTTTTCGCGGATTCACATCACTCTGTGCAGATGGCCGACAACACGGAAAGCGAAGCGCCGGCCCCGTTTACCCCGGCAGCATACGTTCCTGAGGTGCCCCCGAGCATGCCCATGGCCCCACCTCCGAGCGTGAGCATGGCTCCTCCGCCGCCGTCCGCGCCATCTGTCCCGGACTTTCCCAACATGGCATCGTACTCGTACACACCTGAAGTGCACGCACCGCCGATGCCCGCCGCGGCTCCTGCCTACCAGCCCCCGCCAGGTATGCCCTTTCTGCTCCTTCATCGTATTCATCCTGTGAGGTAGCGCCGCCGCGTCAGAACACGCCTCCGCCCCCGGTGTATACGCCTCCGCCGGTGTACAATGCGCCAGCGATAAACCTCCCGGAGGCTCCGACGGCGCCGGTGGTGCGTCCGAGTGGGCCGCGCCGCGCGGGCGGGTGGTCCCATAACGAAATCAACGACGCGATGGAGTGTTCCAAGTTTGCGACGGCGGCGCTCAAGGTACTCTCTGGCATGAAATCACACTGTCTCTTAGCTATGCACCATGTGTAGATCAAGGACGTCGAGCTCGCGATCCAGCGCCTCGAGCAGGCGCTGCAGTGCTTGCGCTAACAGAGACGACGGCACCTTTAATTTTACTACTGTGCATTCCTTGTCTCTACTCGCTGGTCTTGACTTGCGCGCCTTTTCGCGCCGGCAGCGCACTCAGCGTCGCCTGGGTCCAGTCCTGCGCGGTCCGGTAGTTGACGAGAATCTGGAACACTACAATAGGCGATGAGCGCTTGGGAGAGCGTAGCTGAATTGGGTACCGTGGTTGACAGTCAAGACGCGCGTGGCCTGACCCATCTCGAGGACCTTGTCGAGCGGGAGCTTGGCCGTTGCAATGCCCTGCGCCACCGCCTTCTCGTAGGTCACGCCCTTGAGACGGTTGCGGTCCACGATGCCACCAATTATGTACACCTAGATATCTTCAAAATCAACCAGATCTTATAGACCTTCTCGTTGTACCTTGTCTGATTGAAGCTCGTCGATGACGTTGGGCGAGTCAGCCGTCAAGTAGACGAGCGACTCCTTCCGGAAGACGTCCATGTAGCACTTGGGCGTCGTGCTAAACTATACCAGACATCAGACATTGTGGATACAAGAGACTGCCGCGGACGTACAGCGAGCCAGTCGTTGAAGCCACCGATCTTGGTCAAGTTGGCTTCGGCCTCACCGCGCACCGACGTCACGTGCACGCTAAGCCACGTCAGCCACCTGCTCGTACCAAGACTAGGGAGAGTACTTTGCCGGCGTTTCGCTGCGCTTGTTGATGCCATACGAGAACCTAGCCAAATAGGATGAGAGGTCTTCGGCCGATGACGTCCGTACATGATCTGCTGCGTCAGCGACTTCTTCTCCTTGGAGGTCATGGCCTCTTCAAAGCCGCAATCAATGACGATCGTGGGTCCTTCGGACGCAGCCATGAGGAAGGACTCTCTCTTCGCAATTGCGCGCTCCTTCCGCATGAGCACGGCAGCCTCGCTCATGTCGAGGACCGGCTCTGGGACCTTGGGCCGCGCAGCCCGCGCCTCTTCCTTCTTCTGCTTCTTGCGTTCCTTGACTGAGACCCAGATCTCTTGCCGCTTCTTGCGGCGAAGCTCGCGCTTGCCGGAGGTGCTGCTTACGGCATCCGGCGCCGAAGCCTCGACCTCAAGCATCGGCTGCGCTTCGTTGCCCATGTCACTTGCCATCGTCCTGTCCAATTGTTGCACCGCCATCGTGAGCTTAACCGGACAATCCGGTTAGTCGACCGGTAGCCGAGCCGACGCACCTCTCCCACATTGCACAAACGAGAAAGATTGTCATGCTTCAACTGTAGAATCCACACTTTGCGGGATTCTGCGTTTTTCCAGCCGTTCCGCGAGCGAAACCAACCGACGAGTGGCCGCGTCCTCAGAGGCGCGGTCGTCTGTCATTCAGGCAGCAGCAGAAAGAGGCCTCGTCAGTCGACGCCTTCACCTGCTGCGAGCCGCGCCATCGGATCAAGCGACGCGGAGCGATGAGGAACTCATCGCCACGCTGTACAAGACGACGTATCCGAGGAAGACGACGACATGCTCCAGCCAGCCAGCAACAAAAACAACTGTCAGGGGACCACAAGCAACATCAGATCCAACACAGAACCAACATGAGCACGAGCACAGAGCACCAGCACAGAGCACAGAGCACAGAGCACAGAGCACAGAGCACAGAGCACAGAGCACAGAGCACAGAGCACAGAGCACAGAGCACAGAGCACAGAGCA